AGCTGTGATATTTTTCTCATTAGGCTATTATACTTAAAGCAACCATGAACATGTGTGCACACATGTTTTCAATGCCCTTGGGTAAACAGGTACAAATGGAATTTCTAGGATAAGAACATTTCAGATCAGTTTGCAAAGCGGTTGGAGCAAATTATAATTCTATCAGTAGAGCATGAGAATTACAGTGACTCCACCTCCTCTTAATTTGTTGTCTTTTTACTTTTAGTCATTCTGATCAGTGTTTAGCGTATTTGAGTGATTTTTTTTAAGCAATGGTAATTACTTATTTTTAAAAGATGAGACAGAGAGAGAGAGAGGGAAAGAGAATCTCACCCACCGGTTCACTCCCCAAATAAATGCCCTCAGTAGCTAGGGTTGGACCAGGCCAAACCACAACCCAGGGATTCAATCTGATTCTCGTCTGTGGGTCAAGTAACTGAAGGATTTGAACCATCACCTGTTAACTCCCAGGCTGTGCTTCATCAGGAAGCTATAATCCAAAGCAGAACCTGGTAGCTTTGGGATCCGCAAGGAGGAAGGCCTATACTTCCAGGAATGGAGAAGTCCCTACCTGTACTTGCGGGGAAGAAAAGTCCTTGTCAAGGTCCCTGCGGGTGCCTAAAGGTCAACCAATGAGGATCAGACCTGCCTCAACCTTTAACCCCCATGCCCTGAATCTATAAAAGGAGCTCTCCTAATCTCTGACGCACGACTTCCCCGGCCCCAGCTCTGTTGCTCTGTTGGGACGGTGGAACCTCGCCTGGGAGCGGAACCCCAATAAAAGCCTGTGAACTGATTTGTCTGCCTGGGAAGATTTGTTATGCGCCGGACACCTTGCAGAACCAAGACTGAAACCTGGGCACTTCCATAGGGATGCACGTACCTCAACCACTGCTAGGCCACATGCCTGTGGTTTTAATTTACATTTTCTTGACAGCAAATGATGTGACACATCACTCCCTGTGTTTGTTGGTCATTTTATACCTTACTGTAAGAAGCGTTTGTCCACACAGATGTTAGATCTCTGTATCACACACACACAAAAATTGTCCCCCGGTCTGTGGCTCATATATCTATTTTCTTGGTGGTAATCTTGGATGAGCAGATGTTTTTAATCTTCCTGATGTGAAAAATATTTTTTATTCTTTAGTTCTGTGCTTTTTTTAATGTCCTTCTTAAGAAAGCTCTACCCTTGCTGTGCATTGAGATTTAATGCTATAATGAGTACTCAAACAATATATTTCACTTTGTGTTTCTATGGAGGTGCAAACTGTTGAAATCTTTACTTAATGTATACTAAACTGATCCTCTGTAAAAAAAAAAAAAAAAAGAAGAAATTATCAACTCCCAACTCCCAACTTGACTCTCACTGGGATTAAACATGACAATAGGTCTGATCTGATTTCATCATCATTTAAAAAAAATCATCTATTATTTTTCACTTTATGTTTCTGTGTGGGAACAAACTGTTGAAATCCTTACTTAATGTATACTAAGCTGATCTTCTGTATATTAAGATAATCGAAAATGAATCTTGATGTGAATGGAAGGGGAGAGGGAGTGGGAAAGGGGAGGGTTGTGGGAGGGACGGTATGGGGGGGAAGCCATAGTAATCCATTATTCGTACTTTGGAAATGTATATTCATTAAATAAAAGTTAAAAAAAAAGAAAGCTCTACCCATTGATGCTATAAAAATATCCTAGCTTTTTAGACTGTTTGCTGTTTTAGCTTTTATATTTCAGTCTATGATCTGACCCTAATGAATTTTTGCTTATGGTGTGAGGTAGAAGTTGAGACTTTGCTCTTCATAACAATATCCAGTAGTTTTTCACTATTTGTTGAAGCATTTCTTCTCATTGCCACTGAATTCATTTGATACTCTTGATGAAAGCCACTTGACTAATGATGTGTGTGCCTATTGCAAAACTCTCTGTTCTCTGCCACGGATGCATTTATTTATATTGGCAGCTGTGTTAACTTTTTATTATTTTTATCTATTTTCACTCTTTTTTAGATTTCAAATGGGGTTATTAAAAATCTTGGTAATTTTGCTTGTTTTGGAAAAGTTTTTTCCTTTTCATGCCACATACATATGTATATCTGTGTGTTCATACGTATACATACATGTGAACACAAATACACATGTTAAGACATACTAATCATTAACACTGTTATATCTTTCCAGTTCTCAGATATTAGACTTTTCATAGGCTTTCCTATTTTTCGGAGATCAGGGAATGGTTTTACCAGTGACTTTCAAACGTCAGCAAAGCATCTTGAATTATCTGGAAAGCTTGTTGGAAAACAGCTTCCAGGATCCCACTCCAAGATGCTGATGCTGCTAGTTTATAGACTACACTTTAAACTCCTCTGACTCAGAATAAGGGAATGGCTTTCCTCATGTTTATGCAGAAGCCTGAATGGAACATTGATAGGTGTTTTGTAAAGCCTGGTCCCACAGCCACTCATTTATCTACTCTTCGCCTGAAAGAACACCTGAAAAACCTGCTCTGTGCGTGGAGCCTAGGAGCCAGAGGGCAGGGGTATGGTAGATTGATGGTCATAATGTTGGCTCGTGTCCCTTCTTCCTGGGAACTGGGATTCGGCCTGAGAGCAGGGACACATCAGATTCGCTTTAGCTGAACACACATGGGGATGGCCACGTGCTGTGAGGCAGACACTCTTCTCCTCACATCCTCTGTCAACAATCAGAGTTCCGTTTTCTCCTCAGCAACTGATTGGTCTCTAAAAGATGAACATTTCTATAGCAAAGTCCTTAAAAACTCTGCTGGAATCATGATTTAAGTACTTGGCATCCAGGTGAATATTCTTGAATATTCTGAATTTAAGATCAGGGCTCTCAAACCAATGGATTCAGTCACAAAAGCTCAAACCAACCCCCTCCGCTTCCCTAGCTTTTCAGGAAAAGCAGAGACCTTTCTTAGCTTGCCGTTTAATAGATCCAAGCTGTGAGGGCAGAGAGAATGGAGCCCCAACTTTACACCTATTGTATAGAATGCACTCAAAACTGTCCACCACATAGCTTGCTTGCTATTTTCACTGATTGTTAATATCTGTGTGGCCTTCGAAATCATGTAAATGTAAAATTACTTCACAGTTAGTAATTATACTTAAATGGCTGTAAAAAGAGAGAAAAACAATTGGACTTTAAAAAAGAAAAGGTGGAGTGGAGTCAGGGAGAAGGGGGAGCAGGGAGCGAGTGAGCGGGTGACAGAATGTCCAGTGGCTGACAGCAGACAGACCATTCCCGGGAATGAAGGAGGAAGAGAGCCTGTCTGGAAGGCTCCTGCTCACATGCTCTCTAGTCTCTCAGCACCATTTTAGGCCAACGATGAACAATGACAGCGGAGCTCAGCAATTTTTTTCAGGCATCTGGGAATATTTGACAGAAGTGTCCGTGCAACATCCTCAAAAGAATGCCAATTTATGATCAACTGAAAACACACATTGCCTTGTTTCCAGCAGTGAGAAATGGCAGAGGTACAGGGCAGCAGAGCTGTGGCTCTGACTCCTTTGACCATCACTAGGTCTGCATCTGTACCTCACATAAACACACGACATATGCAAGGCCAATGCTGCCATGAGACGGCAGCTAACTCAAAAATTCAGAGATGGTGTTCCCAGAAACCACTGGGTTACAACGTGGTATTACAACTGTCAGTTTTTGTGCTTTTTTGTTTGTTTGTTTCTTTTCTTTTTTTTTTTTTTTTTTTTTTTGCCTTTTTTAAAGGAGATTGAAAGAGCAGCAAGTTATCAATGGAATTTTCGAAGATACCCCACAAATTTCCTTTGGACACGCCATGTGGTCTTAAGCTGTTAATCCATTTCCTCCCAGTGCTTTTGACCAGCAGAAAATTCAGTCCTATCATTCTATACAGTAGATAGATATGGTGATTTAATTCTAATGAAGTTTGGGAATGAGTCCGGCCCCAATCATTCCTCTCCACACATTCTTAGAAAACCAGTTTACTTATTTACCATTTGCTTTCCCAGAATAAAATTCCTACTTCTCATGGATATTAAGAGTTGTACTTATGATTGTTTTCAAAGTTTATAGCACACTGTCTGACTCATAATAAACACTCTATAAATGGTCATGTGGAACACTATCTCTTTCTCCCTCTCCTCAGCTCTTCCTCCTCATCCTTCCCTCCCTAATAGCCATACATAATCTACAGGTCTTGAAAAAGTTCATAGAAAATATATATTACAAAAAAACTATGAATTGATTTCAAAAATTTTTCTACCAAAATAAATTTAGCTTTTCATTTTACTTTTACAAATTTTCTGAAGCCTCCTCATGCATGTGTATTGTGTACATTTCTGTATTGTGTACATATGTATGGAGAAATTATGTGGCACACAACAAATTATATACATAATACATATATGCACACATATGTGTAGTTGTATATACTCCTTAATTGGTACATAATTACTAGTATCATGATGATCATCATAATTAAAAAAAAGACAATGAGCTTCTTAACTCCACCTTGGAGTGTTTCCCAGTACACGTATAAAACATATAAAGACAGCTCTCCTAAAAGACGGAGGAAATCACAAATCTTTGCCCAAAGTCTCCTATGAACCATGAAAAAAGGGACAAGTAGTACATGTTACACAGCACCATTTCTTCACTAATTTCTTGAACTCTTTTATAACACTGGTATCTGCCTCCATTTCTCAAGTCTTTCTATCAGAAACACTAGTACATATTTCTCTACATGCTTTGTTTCACTGACCTCTGACCCACTTTTCATGATTAAAAAACAACGTAATCATCCTATAATATTTCCCATTGTATTTTATCCCATGAGCAAAAGGAAGGATTTTTTTTTTTCCTTCAGTCGAAGAAGAGACAAAGGAAATATAACAGGGGTTGCAAGGGTAGAGCAGAAAAGATTGAGAAAATGATTAAATACCTTTAAATGTATCACTTTTTTCTTTTAAAGAGATGTTGAATTCAAGTCCATACCTTAGCAGTCCTAATCTTCAATCGTGAACACAAATTTCAGGGCAACATTGGGATTGAGATAATCTGCTCAGGCCACCACCGCAGGAACAGTTTGGTTAACCGTCACACTGATGCCAGCGCAAACTTCTCCAAGTCCCCGAGGATGGAGGTTTCTTCCAAGTCTACAAAATCACAGGAGAAAGACGGTATGAACAGAGCACATACACCCATACCCACACCCACATGGCTGATATTAAATTCAAGTCCATTTAATTTGAAGAGAATAAACACAAGCTATTTTAACTTCTGATGGGCATAAAATGCATAATGCCTGAATGGAGTTCAATCTTACTGAATAGAAGAATCTGACAGGGCAGGCCTTGAGCTAAGAGGTTAAGCCACCAGTTAAGAAGCCCATGTTCCACACTGCGGTAACTGGGGTGGAGTCCCAGCTCTGCCTCCTGACTTCAGCCTCCTTCTAATGCAGACCCTGGGAGGCAAGAGTGATTAATCAACCAAAAGTGTTCCTGTCAACCACGTGGGAGATTGGAATTGAGCTACTGGAGCTCTCCGCTTCAGCAGGGTTGCAGGCGTTTGCAGCGTCAGCCAGCAGATAAGCACAGTCTCTCTCAGTCTCTCTATTTTTGCCTCACAAATAAACAAAAGTCTAAGATAAAAAGAATCATACAAAAAATGTTCATAGCATATCAAGGCTGGAAGTTGTTTTAGGATATAAGTAGCCAAATTTGCTTCTTCAACTTGGAAACCAAGGATCAGAGAGCAAAAAATGTTTTCCTCTAGTGATTTATTCCTCATGGTATATTTCTTTCTTTAAAAAAAAAATCAATTGATTGATTGATTTGAAAGCCAGAGCTAGAGACAGTGAGATATCTTCCATGTGTTGGTTCGCTCTTCAGATGACTATAACAGGGCTGAGCTAGGCTGAAGCTACAAACCAGGAACTTAATCTGGGTCTCCCACATGGGTGCAGGCACCTAAAGAATTGGCCATCTTCCTGTTGCTTCTCCCAGGCCATTAGCAGGTACCTGGACTGGAAGTAGGCGGCTGGGACATGAACCAGCACCCATTTGAGATGCTGGCATTGCAGGAAAGTCTCAGTAAACACAATCAATAACAAGATCAATGATAAAAGGAGATAAAGAGACAATTGAAAAACTCTCCTTTTGTGTGTAAGACTCCAAACTTAAGTATCATCAGTGACCAGTTCATCCCAGCTACCTCTGACAGATCTTCTCAGCCTCGCCGTTTACAACATCTTGGGATTTACAAGAGAATTTTGTGAATCATTTCTGAGCCGCATCTCTTTCAGCAGTTCCATGGCATAAGATAGTATTTCTACACTGATAATGCTAATATATGTCTATAGGCCCAGCTACTTCCTTCAACTCCCATGCTGCGTATCAACTGACTGTCCAACAACTCCACTTGGTATAGTCTAACATACCCATCATATAGACCACCCTCAAAGCAAAACCATGACACCGTTACTACCATCACCAACTACCTCCCAATGTAATGCCCATATACTTCCTAGCTTATTCCTTCTCAATTAATGGCAATTCCATTCACCCCATGCATCAGGCTCAAACTCTTTAAGGCAAACTTTATTCTCTCGCTCCTACGCAGCCCATGTTCTATGCTCCATCAGCAAATTCTGGTAGCCCCCTATTTAGAATAAATGTAGGCACTTATCATTTCTCATCATTCCCTTTACTAGCACCTATGCCCCAGGTGGTCATTAAAGGCCTCCAGGCCTGCACAGCAGGATTGCTCAGGTCATGGTTGTCTGTCTCAAGGAGTCCCCAAGTAAGCAAACAATACTACCCCAAGCAAAAACTTCCACCCCATTCAGAGTCGATGTCGCAATCACCCGAGTTTCTAGATGATGAAGCTGTTGCCACTGCCCTCGCTTCCTCTTCCTCTCACTATCATTTATCACTCTCTGCCATGCTAGTCTTCTCACATACTCTATCTGAGCCCTTGCATTTGGGGTTCCTTTGATCTGGAATGCTCCTTTCCCCTCACTCTTCACTATCCTTACCCAGAGATTACCTTTTCAGTGAGACCTCTTGTAACTACCCAACTGGAAGTCCTAAGACTTTACCACATCTCTCAGTCCCACTTCATTGGTTTAACCTTGGTAATCCTGATGGTTACTTGTTTAAAATGTGCCCTCCCCCCATAAAACGCAAACTCCATTTGTGCAAGAACTCTCATCTCTGTTATCCTCAGGCACCTTGCTCAAACCTAGCATGAAGGCAGCTCATTCATTTTGATGAATGAACAAACAGGATGATCTTTAGATCATTCAGGTGCTATGTGGCTGAGCAGAGGCTGAAGCCAAAGTATGCTGTCTCTAGCATTCTTCACAACCCCTTAAAACTGACTGCAGGGAGGTTTGCACTTGTCGGGCTCAGGCGTGGTGTGATCTGGCACGTGACGGAGAAGATGTCAATTATGGAAATTTGTGGGTCTACCAAATGAAGACTCTGAAACTATTTCTAGAAACATCTAATGTGTATGTGTTACATGTATTGGAATGGTCCTACTCACATCCAAATATAATCTTACAATTACTTTCATTATATCTTTATCAACTTTCTCTACCTTTTCTTCCATGCCATTATTTCTTTTCTCTGCCTCAAACTTCCGTTCCTGCCTTACTAGGAGAGTATCAGGAAAAAGAACCCAGGGTCAGAAATGCTAACGCTAAAGTGAATGCTACAGGGCAGCTACAATAGGAATCTGGGTCTAACCTGGCTGTGACTTTGCTGTGTGCCTATCAGGTGATGACTTCTTCTCCCTGAGAGTGTTCTCATTGGGCTGATACACACATCATCAAGTCTCCAGCTCTGAAACATGACTTTTTTCCTCCCTTAACTAACAAAACACTCCCGTATACTCAACCTAAAACTAGCTGAGAAATATGATATAGTCTTTAAGAAGCAAGCTTTGGGATAATCTTGGTATTCATCCTATTTCTACTGCAGTGAAACCCTAGCCAATACACAGGATTTCTCCAAGTACTTCAAACCTTTCCTATAAAAATGCACTGACAGAATACATAATCTTTTTAAAGATTTTATTTATTTTCTTTGAGAGGTAGAGTTGCAGACAGTGAGAGGAAGAGACGGAGAGAAAGGTCTTCCTTCCGTTGGTTCACTCCCCAAATGGCCGCAACGGCTGGAGCAGCGCCGATCCATAGTCAGGAGCCAGGAGCTTTTTCCAAGTCTCCTATGTGGGTGCAGGGGCCAAGGACTTGGGCCATCTCCCACTGCTTTCCAAGGCCATAGCAGAGAGCTGGACTAGAAGAGGAGCATCCAGGACTAGAACTAGAGCCCATATGGGTTGCCGGTGCCACAGACGGAAGATTAACACACAGTGCCATGGTGCCGGCCCCAGAAATACATACTCTTTTCAGATGTTTGTGAAAATGAAACGAGGTCACCTAGGAAATCATTCATTACCACCTACAATATAGGTATACAGTAACTTTTCTGGATAGTTTTGAATTTTACTATTGCAGGTGTATATTCTGCATGACATTGCCCAATTTTATCTACTTTCACATCATTTTCCATCACAGTCTGAAGCTTTTCCACTTTCTGCCAGGTGGAACTGTTTTGTGGTCTGGGTTGATTCTGAATAACTTCCTCTGGGCCATCTCCTTTTCAAATGACACTGTTACCCCAACTGCCCTCTCATTCTGGGGCAAATGGCAGAAATTTATAACATGAGAAAGTCAAGTTTTCTGGTTCATGTCTTGTCCTCTTGCACACACCCAGCAATTTGGGCATGATCCTGGCCCCAGTTTCATAGCAGGCTGCTAATTGTCAAGCCATAGTCTACAATTACTTCTGCATCTCAAAGCCAAGAGACACAACTTTGGAAAGCAAACAATGCTATAATTCAGCACAAAGATGCACGGAGTTATTAAAGAAATTGTGCTGACAGCTTTGAGAATTCAAGTCTCAAGTCTATCCAAATGCATCTTTATTTGTTATTTTTTTCCTAACTGATATTAGGAACATGCTTATGTTCCGTTAGTAACACCGTAAATCTATGTCAACCACCTTTCAACATTAATTACACCTCATCCTAACAAATCATTAAGATGCTTTGGGGATGGGGCCGGCGCCGTGGCTCACTTGGTTAATGCTTCACCTGCGGCGCCAGCATCCCATATGGGCGCCGGGGTTCTACTCCTGGATGCTCCTGTTCCAGTCCAGCTCTCTGCTGTGGCCCAGGAGGGCAGTGGAGGATGGCCCAAGTGCTTGGGCCCCTGTACCCACACGGGAGGCCAGGAAGAAGCACCTGGCTCCTGGCTTTGGATCTGCACAGCGCCAGCTATGGCGGCCATTTGGGGAGTGAACCAATGGAAGGAAGACCTTTCCCTCTGTCTATAACTCTACCTGTCAAAAAAAAAAAAAAAAGATACTTTAGGGAAACATTACTTTTGCCCCCCTCTAAGTCATTTGAGGACATGGTCAGAAGTGAATTTATTCAAAAATGATTTATTGAGTGTTGGAGAACGTTTTTAAAAGTTTAGAGGAGAATGGAATTAAAAGATGTGTTTATTTGGGTGTAAAAATTTTTGAAATCCATGCATAGAGAGGGTCTTCACAAAGTTCATCTAAAACGCATATTATGAAAAAACCACACTTAGCAGTCACAAGTTTCACAAAATGTATCTTTTAATTCCATTTTAGACAAACTTCCTGAAATTAGTAATTTCCTGTGGGATTTGTTAGAAAGATACATAGCAGGTAATATGTAGGACTTTATTTCTGCCTTCATGCAGGCATCAATTCAGGAGTTTTTCTCCGTGCTTTGCAATTTCCCAGCTTATGCCTAGAGACAGGAAGACATGACAAACTCCTGCAAGGCTGATGGTTCTCCGCAAGAGTGATACAGAAGGTGCTCACATAAGCATCCTAATTTCTGCTTGATAGAGCCGGAAGTTTTATCACTCTTGGCTTTCTCTGGAGACTGGTTCATTTTCTCTCTGTACTTCTCACATACCACTGAACACACACCTCTCCTGGACTGATCCTGGTTCATTTCTCTATCAGAAAAAAAAAAAAAGAAAGAAAGAAAGAAAGAAAGAAAGAAAGAAAGAAAGAAAGAAAGAGAGAGAGATCAAATTCATACAGACACTATC